CAGAGTGTTCCCGCTCAGCCCCACATGAAGTCCCGCAGGACGCAGGATCACACGATCCCAGCGGAGCCTATACTACTTCACCAATCTACTATGTCGAGCCGCTGTCGGCCATCCGCGTCGACCGTTCAATTCGGTACCGATGGATCCTTGTGATCACCATATGAAGTGTAAGCCTGGGATGCGCGCGGAGAACACAATGGTGCGATTGGCCCCAACCGGAAGCTGCGCAAGCAAGCGAGAGTCAAGGCCAGCCTGACATGATGACATGATCTCTCAACCTCTTGGGGGAGGGCCGACTTCTGCTTCTAGGACACTCCTGTTTAAGCAGGAGTGCCCAACGACAGTGACAGTAATTCCAACATGATATATTACACCAGAGAAAAGCCCCAATCAGTGCATGATTTTCGCTGAGGAGATCGACCGGGAACCCGGGAGCCCGGGAACCCAGAACCCACCGACATCGGCCCGGAACCAATCACCGGGAACCCAGGAACCCAGAACCGGGAACCCGGGAACCCAGCGTGCGACCAATTTTGGCGGGACGTTTTCGCCAAATCTTTCAATTTCCGCGAGGACCCCTTCAGTGCAAGCACTGATTGGGGAATATTGACAGGTGAAGTTGCTCCATGAACCCATCTGTTACCTGCATCATGCATGCTCCAAATGTGACGTGGGGTGGGACCTCACACTACATTGCAATTTAAGTTCTACCAGCAGCAGGGTGTGGTTGACCTTCCTCATTATTCTCTTCCACCGTCCCACCACTCCTCTCCCTCACCTCTGTCGCCCCCACCCCCCCCCCTCCCTGCCCTACCCCGTCTCCCGCCGCCTCCCCCTCCCTCTCACCACCCTCCCCTTCTTCCTCCTCCTATCCATCTTCACCCCTATTCCTTCTCATTCCCCCCATTCACCTCCCTCTCCTGTCAAACTGGCTCCAATGCTAGAGCGCCAGAGAGTTGGCCACAGAAGGCTAATCGGGGTGTCAGCCCCGCTATTTTGAAGCGGTCGTCCCTCTCTCTGGTTTCTGGACACGGTCCTGACCATCACCGACCCTTGCCAGGACCACGACAACAACACAATATAAGTATCATTTGTTCCAGTCATACCGTAGTAGACATGTTCATCATCCGACGCCGGGTGCGCAACCTACGGCGCAACAAACAGCACACCGTTTTAAAATCTGACGTCGAGTGCGCAACCTATCCCGTAACCACTAGCTCGCTGCTTGGCTCTCGGCCGCCGAGAGCGCAATCTATAGAGCAGCCAGGCAGGCCATTTTCGCCTTGGCCTTCGAGAGCGCACCCTACGGCGGCTTTACTTTTAACCGCCGAGTGCACAATCCGTGGCCCAAGTAATAGATGGAACATGGCGTAACCCATAGATGGCGCAATTCATGACGGAACCCGTTGTTGGCGAAGCTTGCGCATCGCGCAATCTACGCCGCAACCCATGAATGGCGCAACTTGTGGCGTAACCCACGGATGACGCAAGCCACGGCGCGTCATGAATGGCGCTCTCCCTTCGAAGATTCTGCATGTTGCGCACAATTTATGCCCGCCGTTTGTGTTAGCGGTGGTGCCCAAGCGGGGAGCTGTGTTGTGATTCCTTCCTTCCTTATCTGACCCCCCTTCGCTTGGGAAACAACTGTTCTGCTTCGGGAGGCCAACCACCGAAACCTTCGGTGCTTGTTCCCGAGACTGGTACCGTTTGTCGCTGTGGTCCGCCAGAGATCGGCGCCCATGCCGCGTTTGATACGACACCGTTGTTCGGTCGCTGCTGCATTGACTCTATCACACTATGGTCGGTCATATGCTGTTCTATTCATGAACGGTTTAGGTATCCATGTGGCCCGCCTTGCGTCTGTTCGCATGTTGCGTTTTATAGTGCGCCGTTAATCGGTTATTGCGGTTGTCTACAGTATTCGGCTACGTGTTGATCGTAGGTGTTCTCATCTGTGATACTCTAGCATGCTCTGTTATGCGCAGACCGGCATTGCGTCGTGACGCTTGTCAAGTTTGATACGTCGTCCAATCCGTCGTCGTTGGGTGTGGTTTTCCTTGTGGCTCGCCTGACCTCGGCGCGCACGTCGCGTTCGAGTGGGCGCCGTAGAGCTCCCACGAATGCTTCGATTCCCCGACATACCGTGGTGGTGGGTATCCGTGTTGAAAGGAAAGCTCCCCGCGTCCCCCTCCCCCTCCTCTCTCCTCCCTATCCCCGCCTCTGCCCTCCGCACCAAACAACATCTCGGCACACGACTCACACGTTTCGTGGCCCCAGAGGGTGTTCCACCGAACGCACCAGCGGTTGCGTTTGCATGCGCCCACCGCACCCATGTCGGCACATCCCGCACACGCTTTGTTGTGGCCCCATATGGAGCTCGGCCGAAGGCCCCTGTTGTTGCGTTCGCATGCGCCCACCGCACCCGTGCCAGTACACCCCTTGCACGCTTCGTGGCCCTATACGGAGTTTCACCGAAGGCCCCAATGGTTGCGTTCGCATGCGTCCGCCCCATTCCGTTTTCGGTTCACCACATACGTTTCGTGGCCCCGCCACCGAAGGCCCCGGTGGCGGTGTTCGCCTGCGCCCACCGCACCCAATTCGGCTCACCACTCACAGGATTCGTGGCCCAACTGGGAGCTCAACCGATGGCTTAAGTGGCGGTGTTCGCATGCGTCCGCCCTGCCATTTCGGCACACTCACACCTTTCGTTGCCCCATCGGCAGCGCCACCGAAGACCTAAGCGGCGGTGATCATACGAGTCCGCCCCATTCATTTTCGGCTCGCCTCTCACACGTTTCTTGGACCCATACGGCACTCCACCGAAGACCCCAGTGGCTGCGTTCGCATGCGGCCACCGCACCCATTTCCTTGCACATTCCTTACGCCTTCCGTGGCCCCATACGCAGGACGAGCAGTTTTGCCCTTGAGGCGCCAGCGGCAACAAACGGTTGGCGAGAGAGCATCGGCGCCGCCAGACGCACAGCGTCTGGGCAAAATGTTTGCAGCTGCCAGGGGGCGAGGAGAGATGTATCCATGTAGGGTGCGAGTTGCGTGCGGGGAGGCTTGGTGGGGCCCTTGAAACGAAGCGCGACCTGTCTGTGACAGTTCGTAGCCCCCCCCCGTCGAATCTTGCTTGAATGCCCCAGATCCGATTTTCGTTCGTCCGTTGATTATCGTAGCGTCAGAAATGCCATACAGCGTATGAATCGGATCCGTGAGAAAAAACATGGAGGTAAGCAGATCCACATCATCTGAGTTCGGATCCACGCGGAGGGACAGTTGAGCCACCGCAACACAATTCCATTGCCAAGTTCGGGTCCACACCAATTTTGCTGGATCCGCCAATATTTATGTCACCCTCGCTTGCGCAAGATCTGAAGGCATCCTGTCCAGGCCCAGCAGGAAAACTTCCGCCTTGGGGATGTGGGAGTTCCACCGAACATAATTATCACAACCGCATTGTTCACATTTGTATATGGTTGGGTCTTGCGCCAGGCTTCTTTCTGTCAGAGTCAGCAACGTTAGATTCTGGATGCTGTGAATATAATGTGTGCCATCCTGTTCTAGTGTGCTCTTGTCAAATATGCAGTACTGCATTATGTCCTGCTATGTGGTGCTACGTTCAACTCGTTTGCGTCATGGACTGTTCAAGACTACGGCGTTACGTTATATATTACCAAGTGTCTGGCTGTGGCATGTATTATCGTTTGCGTGTCGGGTGAACTCGCCCCTTTTACAGTTTAGGCACGATCCTCTGTGCCATCATGATTTTGTGCTCATGCGGTCGTTCTTGTTGGCAGTGAGAGTATCCGTAGGTTGTATGTATGCCAGGATAGTGCACATCATTTACGTTTTTGATCACACTTCTAAGTGCAATTCCATCGTATTGCATTATATCGAATGTATGTTGTGTTATGTTTGGTTATGCGTTCGAGAACTTGTTGCTGTGCTATGTGATCGTCAGGTGTGGACTGAGTATGTGTGATATTGTCTGGTTTGTCCTGGCCCAGTGTGTTCGACTGTTGTGTGCTGCGCTGCGTCCTGGTATGCGATGTTCTGCCATTGCATCCTGAAGCTATATTGTATATCTTGATGTAGGACTCCTGGGCGGCGTGACGCCGCGGCGCCTCTCCCTCGGGGCTGCCTGATGTGCAGGGTGTCCTCGCTCGTCGAGGACGCGAGATGGGACACTCCGACATTTCCGGGATCCTGTTGGGTCTGGCGGCCGCGTCATGGTGTCGTCAGTCGTCGAGGGCACGAGGCGGGACATTCAGGGATTCTTGGGATCTTGTGGGGCCTGGCGACCGCGGTCTGCAGGGCGGGCAGACGGGAATTCCTTCTGGAGAACCTAACAGTCCCAACTTGTCGGGTCAGGAAAACAGCCTTCTCCCTGCATCCCGTTCCTTCCTCTCCTCTTCCTTTCTGCGTTACAGACAGAGGGCATCGCCGATTCGAAACCGCATGCTCTGGGCCCGCTTTAGCTTCTCCTCTTGCTCGCCCTCCCCACCCTCCCATTGGCTCCTCCACCGCCGCGGCAGCCGCCGCTCTTCTACCCCCTCCTTTTGCCTCCTCGTTAAGCCCCCCTTTACCCTTTTCTCCTTACGGTAGGTTCGCGTCGTGTCGACCGGCGGCGACCCCGCCGCCGACGTTCAACGTTGAACGCCGACGGCGGCCCAGAATCGGTCGATGTTGAACGATCGGACGTAGCGGAGACGGCCGATCGTTCAAGGTTGAACGATCCAGCGCGGTGTCGGGAACCAACGCCAGAGTCGACACGGCACGGACCTGCAGTACCTCCTCCTCCTCCTCTTCTCCTCCCCCTCGCACAGTGCTCCCTTGCCCCCACCGCCCTCTCTTCCATGCCTCAAGGCCGCGGGGTAGGCAGGAGCCCTCCCGCCACTGGCGCCCAGAGGGGCGCTCGGCGGGCCCTCCTCCTCCTCTTCTCCTCCTCCTCGCACAGTGCTCCCTTGCCCCCACCGCCCTCTCTTCCATGCTTCCAGGCCGCGGGGCAGGCAGGAGCCCTCTGGCGCCCTCTGGCGCCCATGGAGGGGCGCCCGGCGGGCCCGACGCCGCCGCGCGGGGCGGAGCTGCGGCGCACGATCGCGGAGCAGCTGGGCGTGCTCGAGGAGCCCGCCGGGGTTTGTCACGGGAAGCCGGGGGCGGGTCGGGCCAGACGTGGTGGGGGGTCCCGGCGCTTTTTTTGCAGGGTGGGGGTTTCTTTAGTGCGCAAGAAGGTCCACGAGGCTGGGGGGGTCTTTCGTAGTATGGGGTCCTGGAGTTTTTTGTAGGATGGGGGGTCCCTACAACAGTGCACAAACAGGATCCTCGAGGCTGGGGGTGTCAGTCGTGGTGGGGGGTCCCGGCGCTTTTTTTGTACGGTAGGGGGCTTTTAAAACAGTGCACAAAAAGGGTCCACACGAGAGGATCGGGGAGACTTTGATGCAATACCACGTCGAGGGGGCGGCCGAGGGGCCGAAGAATTCGGCAAGGGAATTCGGCGATGCACGGCTGCCTCCGGCGCTGGCGTGCGCCAGGAAAGACAGTTGCATGCAGTTGGTTCACCAGCACCGCTTTACCATCCGCCCTTTCGTCCGACCCGGCGCGGGCAGGCGGGCAAGTGTTTTCTCGTCAGGTTCGCCATGCGTTTGGCTTTAGAATTTGGTGAGGACGGGGAGTCGGTTGAGGAGGGGAGCGGGAGGACGAAGATGGGAGATGTGACGGAGAGTGAAATCGCGTGCGAAACGCGCGTGTTTCGTTCTTGTTCCGTGTTTGCGAAACGTGCATTGGGATATCGGTAAGCTATCAAATTCAGAAAAGGGGCAAGCGATCCGGTCGATGTATGCCTAGCATGTGCCGCAGGCTGGAACCATTCTTCGGTAGTAGATGGCCAGCGCCTGGAAATTTAGGGCCCATGATATAATCTGAAACGACAAGTGCATGATGCAAGCCATAGTTACCGTCATCACCATGAGGTCGTCATTCGTATCAAGTACGTACTAACGTCATCAGTCATCGGCAACACCAGCGTTCCAAACACTCTCCGGATGATTTTGTGTACGTCAGTTTGGCGGACATCATCTTGGCATAGTAGTGTGCAATGCAAAATTCAGACGTTCTTCACGCGCGCCTATGAAAATCAATGAACACGTACGTCGTCAAGTGTTCCAAAGCTTCAGATCAGAAGTGCTTACCGTCAACATAGCCATTTTTAAGTTGGCAGCTAAATTCCTTGGCGAGGCGTCAGTGGAGTCTAGCCTCAGTCCTTGGGCTTGTTAACGGCTATGGCAGACACGCAGGGAATGACGCTGCGTTGTTGATTGATGTTTGTGCGCAGCATTCGCACACGCTCGTAATTTTATTTGCTCGCCCATCGATGCAGCAGACTGAGGCGTGTTCGCCATGGTATATCCAGACAAACCCATGCCAGTACAAGGCTCATGCAAGACATGCGCATGTGGCTGCTGCCTACCATGATGGAGTTAATGCTGCTTCCGGAACTGGTGCGTCAAACTGCATGTCTCCTGCGCTGCAGGAGCAAGCCGTTCCGCTTTCGGCGCGGCTGTGTTCGTCCTCGTTATGGGGGGCTGTTCTTGCCGAGGCATGCGCGAGCTTTGTGTGAAAGGACTATCCATTGATCTCATCGGTGGATCGTTGTTTTCAGCCGTGCCCCGTGTGCCGCTCCCCCACGGACGGGCCGCTCGTTTCGGGCGCCGCGGCGGCGGCAGGCTGCCACGGCGCCCGCAGCGCGGGAGGGCGAGCCCCGGGCGAGGCTCGCTGCGGGCCGGGCCAGCCGCAGAGCGGACAGGAGCGCAGCGGCGGCGAGCCGCTGGAGCAGGCCCACACCGCGCAGCTCGGCGGCGCCGCCCTGCTCAACATGTGGGGGCCCAGAGCATAGACACGACCACCACGTCGATTCCTCCTCTCTCTTCGCTTTCCAGCGAGAGGGGGAGGGGGGGGAGGGAGGTGGTGGTGGTGTACATTTGGGGGCGCCCTGCTCCACAGCCACCACCACCAGCCTCGGCAGCCAGCAGTCGCTCGTCAAAGCGGGGCCCAGCAGGCCCACGGCGGCCCGCAGAGCGCCGCCCCTTCGAGCACCGTCGTCGCCGCAGCGGGGCAGATCGGCACGATCATCCTCGTCGGCAGCACCCTCCTCATCACCAGCATGGCCAGACGTATTTACCATCTTTCTCGTTGCATCTGCCGTCATCAGCGGTGCCGTTGCGCCCGCTGCCGGCATTCCCCTCCATCATTTCCCCCCCCCTCCCGTCGTCCTCGTCGGCCTTCTTTCCGCCCCCCTGCGATGTATATATATATATATATATGTATATATATACACATATAGATCGGCACAGTCATCATCGTCGGCAGCACCCTCCTCATCACCAGCTTTATCTCAGACGTGCCATCTTTATCGTTGCATCTACACCCTATAGGCGATGCTTCAGAAAACGTGAGTTTTCGGCCAGAGTCTCGATTCTTCTTACTGTTTCCATGTGAATCCTAATGTTTCAATAGGAATTCTGTTTTTTTTCTCAAATTCTGAGACTCTGAGTTTCTTAACCCATGATTTCTGAAGCATTTCGCAGGGTGTACCGCCATCAGCGGTGCCGTTGCGCCCGTTGCCAGCATTTCCCCCCCGTCGTCATTGCCCCCCCCCCCCCGCCGTCCTCGTCGGCCTCCTTTCCGCCCCCCGTGCGATCTGCTGAGGACCTCGTGCTCGGCGCGCGGCCGTCCCGCGGAGCCCCCGGGCCTGCCGCGCGCGCCGCCTCAGCGAGCTCCGGGCGGGCCGACGCGCGGAGGGCAAGCTGGACAGACGCGGGGGCCCCGCGGCGTGGCGCTGCCGGCTCCTCCTCCTCCTCCTCCTCCTCCTCCTCCTCCTGCTCCTCCTCCTCCTGCTCCTCCTCCTCCTCCTCCTCCTCCTCCGCTCCGCTCCTGGGAATCTCCGTGGAGACCTCTTCTGCAGATGGGCGTTGCATCGAGGAGGAAAACATCGTCAGCACCAGTTTTCGGAGGATCGCCTGGATCGCTTGGATCTGCGCCGTTCTCCCCGTTCCCGCAGGGCGCGCAGCGCGCCGGCAGTGGCACTGGAGGCGCAGATCCATGATGCCCGCCGCGCGGACCTCCGACAACATATGTTTACGATCATGTTTGGTCCGTTGTCAAATCCCGATGTTTTGTCCTCGACTGGCGGGAGCCTTCAGTAGCTTCACGAGTAGCCAGGAATCCCCTCAGCGGGGAGCGCATGGCTTCCTGAGAGATTCTGCTAGCTGGGGCTCTTCATCAGGCCCTCCCTGGCAGAAGGGGTCTGGCCGCGGAGCAACCGAGTGAGATCTTGAGCGGCACTCTTTTGTCATGACGGTTTCGATTGGTCTTGAAATCTGCGCGGTTGAAGGAGAGCTTGTATGTCGGCATCTTGCCCGCTCGTTTCCGTGCTTACCCGCATACTTGTCCGCTTGCTTGTCCGCTCACCCGCCTCCGTGCGATTGTGTTGGCGTCAGCGCGCGTGCGTGTGTGCGCGCCGCTGCTCGCGTGCGCGTGTGAATGTGTGTTTGAGTGCGCGCGCGTGCGCTCTTCCCTGCTCGCCATCTGCCCCTCTTCTGCTCGCCCTTCCCGACGGGCCTGCCTCGGGCTGCCCTGGCTCGCGCTCTGCACAGTCGCCTACTGCCGGGCCCCGCCCGCAGTGGCCCGCACGTTTTGCCTTGCTCTCAGTACGCCTCCCTGCTGCGCGGCTTCGTTCGGCAACGTTGCATGCAAAGCTGTATTGTGGTTTGTTCAGTGGCCTGCCGTTGCCCCGTTGCGACTGGATTGGCGCTCTATGTGTTCCCGCCCCGGGGGTGTGCCACGTGGCGAAGAGAATGGACGGCTTTTTGTTTTCGCCCCCCCCCCCCAAGGCGTTGCCACGTGATGGTCAGAGTGAGATCGTACATGTTCGGCCCGCGCGGCATCGCCACGTGATGAGTCGAGTGGACGCTCCTCATGCCCCTGCTGCGTGGCGAGTGGAGCGGGATAGTATTTTGTCTACCTGTCAGGCCCTGCCACGTGGCGTTGCCAGGTGGCGAGTAGAGAGGAATAGCATTTGTTTTTTGCCCCGCTTTGGAGCCACGTGCCGAGCAGAGCGGCGTCATTTTGCTTCGCCAAGCAGGCGCTGCCATTTGGTAAGTACAATGGGGGAGTATGTGTTCCCCTCTTCGGGCGTTGCCACCCGGCAAGGAGAGTTGAGCAGTATTTGTTTCGCCCCACCGGTGTTGCCACGTGGCGAGTAGAATGAAGCAACATACGTTTTGATTCGCAGGCGTTGACACGTGGCGAGTGGTGCAGTGGACTAGGTTGCGTTCCGCCCTCCAGCCGCTTCCACCTCGCAATTCGCGTGGAATCGTATTGCAGTGGCCTTCGGCCAGTGCCGCCGATCCGGGTCGCTTGAGGTGCCCCCCATAATGGGCGGCGACACTTCGCCGACAGACACGCACGCACACGCTCGCAGACATTACGCGCACGCACGCACACACACACACACACACACACGCACACACTTACACACAAACACACACACACACAACATACACCCACAGACACACACACAAACCACACTCACACATGCGCGCCGCCTTCGCAGGCACATACACACGCACACGCCGGCAACACACACACACACACACCACGCACACCGCACAAACACACACACACACACGCCACACAACAGACGCGCATTTCACCGCAATTTGTTCCCCGTTTTCCGCTCTTGTCCCGTTCCACTTCTCTCTCCTTCTTTCCCCGATCCCCTTCTCGCGCACACGGACAAACATTGCCCCGCGCACACGCGCACCCCCCCCCCTTCCCCTCCTTCCCCGGCAGAGCCACCCCGATCACCCCCTCCCCCTTTTAAACTCACACGCCGGATCGGCGGATCGCTTCCACTTCGCAATCCACGTGGAATCGTGTTTTGTCCGTCCTGCAGTCGTTGCCACGTCGCGAGAAGAGAAGAGGGGAGTAGCACATTTCTAGCCCCCCCTGGCGTGTCCCACGCGGCTGGGAGATCTGCTCAGTTTGGGTTCAGAGGGCGGTTCGGATTCGGGATGGACGTGTCGTCGTCGTCGGTGTCTCCTCCCCCTCCTTCTTCTCCTTCTCTCCCTCGTCCCCCTCCTCCTCTACCTCCTCTTCGCTGTTTTTGCCCTCTCTGAGGTCGGGCGGCTGTTTCAGCGAGCGCACGGGGCTGGTTCTGGTGAAGGCGATCCGCTGTCTTGGTGGGAGCGGAACAGCTGTGTTGGTTTTGGCGGAGCTGCTGTAGTTTAGGCAAGGTTGTTGTGGTTTGGCTTCGCGGCGCGGTCCTTTCCGTCTCGGGATGGTCGCGGCCGTTCCAGGTACGATTTTCACCCCTTCCAGCGCCTGCCGCTTTGGTGTCGGTCCCCGGGTGTGGTCGTGGTGCCGTCCTGCGTCCACTGTCATGTCATTTCGGCCCTGGCTGGCCCCTCTGGCGCGCTCATCCTGAAATGCTTTCAGCCGTGAGGCCCTACTCTTCCCTTCCGTCCTCTGCGGCCGCTCCTCCTCCTCGCGCCCGCTCGGGCAGCCGGACAATTCGTGAGTCGCGTGTCCCCGACAACTCACAGCGCCAGTGCGGAGCGCCTCCGCCGTGCTGCAGCGTAAAGACGTGCGCGCGTGGGCCGGCCCCCGCGCTCCTTCTGGTTGCTCCCGCTCGCCTCACTCCACCGCGTTGCTCCGCGCGTGGCCGCGACGCTCGGGCCGAGCGAAAGGGGGTGATTGGGAAAGGGGGGGTTAAGAAATTTGCTGCATGCAGCTGGCTTCGGCCTCACCGAGGGCCCATTCCTCGATACATCGCCGCCTCCGGCGCCGGGAGGCGCCGGGGAAATCAGCTACGTGAGCTGATTCTCAAACCCCCCCTTTGCTATCCCCCCCGTTTCGCCCGACCCGAGACGCGGAAACAAAGTGCGTGCACGTTGTTTCCGATTGCGCGGACGGTAAGCGCGCGGTCGTTCCAAACGAGAATGTCGAGAGTAGGCGTTCATGTGCCAGTGTGTGTGTGTGTGTGTGTGTTTGCGCGTGTTGGGGTGTCCGTCTGCGTTTGCGTTGGTGTGTACGCGGGCTTGTTTGTCGTTGAAACACGTGTCGTCTTGTCCGCGTTTGTCATTGTTTTTCTGTTTGCCCGCCCAGTCATCTGCATGTTCGTTCGTCCGTCCGCCGACCACCCACGCGCACGTGCGTCCATCCACCATCAAGGATCGATGCGGGTGTATCATTCCAGGGGACGGATAGCAGGGTGAGGAAGGCGGAATTAGATCGCGCCGGTTGCCCGCTGATCGCTTCCCCTTCTAGGAGCAGGAGGGAGTGGATGAGGGCGAGGATGGGCGGGAAGGAGAGTAGCGGGAGGGACGAAGGAGGCAGGAACACGGCAGGAGAAAGACCAGGAGGAAGGGCAGAAAGACGAGGAGGAGGAGGAGGAGGAGGAGAAGGAGGAGGGGCACGACCAGGAGGGATTGGAGGAGGAGGAGGAACCAGAAGAGGAGGAGAAGGAGGAGGAACATTGAGGAACATTACTCCAAGAACGGTCGGCGTGGGCTCGAGAGAACCGGCGCAGATTGTGAAAAGTGGTGCGGGGAATTCTTCCGACACCGTGCTTGGCGCGACCTCTCGTGGCCTGTCTGCAGGGGAGCCAGCACTTGGGCAAACGCCACTGGCACCCCCAGGCAGAAGTCACTTGTCCTCGGGACGTCCACGGCGCATGCGCTGTGTGAGGGCCCCCGAGGGCAGGAAGAGTCGGCAGGTGGTATGCCATAGGCAATTCTTCAGCTGACCCCATCTGCCTGCGGCGAGACGCCAGAACCCTTGTCCAGCGGTTCCCAGCCCAACGGCAACAGCGCAGTGCTTGCCCCCTTTTTCAGAAGGATGGCGGCAGTCAAACAATATTTCATATAATCAAGTGCGTGTAAAGGATGCTCTTACAGTGTTCTTGCACCTTTCACTGTTCGGCACGTCTTTGGGCATATGTTTTGAAACGTCGAAGGGCGTTGCATCCATAGATTTATGCCATAATCGTCTGCAGTTGTTTTAGCCCCGCGGAGTCGCCGCCACGTCCAGTTCTTCGATCTACATGGCCTGAAGAGTTTAGGTCGTTGCGACCCCGCAAAGAGCGAAGCTGGAAGGTGGCCAATGCGCTTCTCCTCGTGCAGTACCACCAAGCGTCTTGAGACCACGCAGGCCGCTAGCGCTGAGGCTCGCCGCAATCAGAGCCATGCCAGAGTAGATCGCACTGCCAAGGCCGCAGCGTACAGGTGCCGCGAGCACGTGCTCTGCATGTTTGTCGCACAGACCTGCAAGCAATGGAGTCTGAGCGTAAGACGCACGAGCGGAATCTGCGCGGCATCTTGATAAACAACGTGAGTGAGAGGGATGGCGCAGCAGGAGGAGGAATATGAGAAGGTAGCAATTAACAGGAAAACGATGGGGACGAGAAGGAAGGATGTCGGCCGGAGGACCCCGATTGGATTCGCCAGAAGATCTCGGCCCAGGGGCACACACGATACGCCGTGCTGCCCGCATCCCACAGGATAACAAGGCGGTGGACGCCCCAGCGAGGTGTGGGGAGCAAGCTCAGGAGGAGGATGGATGGGGTCTGGGCCTTTGGGACTTTGTGTGTCTCCGGACAATCTCTGGAGACATCGACAGGCCATCAGAAAAAGCGCCCCACCGAGGCTCCAGCGCCGCCCACGCACCGCGCCGTGCCCGCGCTGCGCGCACGTGGACATCCCGGCGGCGGTAGCCGTGCACCAGGACGGTTGCCTCTTCCCCCATCAGTCCTGTCCTCGTGCTTAGCCTGCTTCTTCGGGCGACTGTACCCCTCTGGCTCAAGCCGCCCTGGCTCGAGCTTGGCCTGCGCGGCCTGGGGGCTGGATTCTTCCCTGGACTTCGGTTGGCCTGAGCGGCGCCGGGAGGGGCCTCCTCCTCTTGTCGGGCTGGACGAAAGGGGGGGATCAGGAAAGGGGGGGGGTACGAAATCTGCTGCGTGCCGCTGGTTTCGGCCCCACCGAGGGGCCCCTTCGATACATGGGCGCCTCCGGCGCCGGGAGGCGCCGGGAAAATCAGCTACGTGAGCTGATTCTCAAACCCCCCCTTTGCTATCCCCCCCTTTCGCCCGGCCCGATCTTGGCGCCCCTCTCCCCGATGCCATGCCTCGGTCTAATTACTGGCGGCTCGGCGCGGGCGGCCGTGCGGCGCCTCCGGCGCGGCTGCCGCCGGCTCGGGCGCATGGCGCTGCTGCGGCGGCCGCGGGCTGCTGTCCCGCCCGCCGCGGCGGCCGCTCGGGTGGCTGCCGGTTGCTCTGCTGCGGCGGCTGCCGGGTCGGCTGTTGCCGCCGCTGCTGAGGTCGCCGCGGCTGTGGCCGTCTCCGCGGCTGCGGCCGCGGATGCTGCGGCCGCGGCGGCTGCCAGCTCGGCCGCCGCCGTGGGGGCCGCCGCGGGCCGTGCCGTCCCGCGCGGGCCGCGGCCCGCGGGGCCGGCTCTGGCGCAGCCTCGCGGGCACCTCGACGGATTGGAAGGAATTTTCGTCTAGCGTTTGTCCAGAATGCTGCAGCCAGAACTGTCACTTCACTCGGCCAGGATTCGCGCCGGGCGCGCTCGCCACCGTTCCCCGCGCTCGCGGGGAGAATGCTACACTTGTATGTTTCGAATTCGGTGGCATGGAATTGAAGGCTTGCCCCAGAAAAAGACTGGCCTCCTGCCGGGCTGCAAGCGAGCGGTCGACGAGCAACGGGCTGCTAGCATTCCAGCGCGCGTCTCCCTGAAAGAGGGCGGGCGCATTTGCCGAGCCCCTTTTCCGTCGACGTTCGCTCGCCGACGGCCATTCCGCCGCAAATCAAGCAGACCCAAACCCCCGTGAGTCACGAATTGGTCACGACGCTCGTTCTGTATGTTTATCTATGCGATGTCTTGAGTTGTGTGTTTCACTGATCATAGTCTTGTATGTTTTTTGATTGTGCTGTTTCTTTCTTATGGACAGCGCGTGAAAAGCCGTGGGAATGCCTTGACAGCCCTCGTTAAGGCTGAGTCACCCTGGACAGCCCGTGGCAAGCCTATGCAGCGCTGCAGCCTGTCAAGGTTCATGGCTATTGTCAAGGGTTGAACGCTGACGCATTGGATCTCCGAGTTGACATTGGTTTGGGCACACGCTCCGACGATGGACAATGCAGGATTTCGGGTGACCCGCGCGGTGGGTGGGTCACCCGCTGCGCGCGCGCGTGGCGGGTTTTGCAAGGTCCACAGTAGGAAAACGGCTCTGCTGGCTTGGGAACGAAAGTGGATCCTTAGCGGTGGCGGACTTGATGGTGGAGTTAACATGGGTTTTTGTGTCACAAATCCCCACGCGCGCGCGTGAGGAGTTCTGTGTTGGCCGCAATGGAAAAGTCGCCATGCTGGCTTGGGAGCAAAAGTGCACTGTTAGCGGTGGCCGACAGGATTTCGGGTGACCCGCGCGGTGGGTGGGCGCCACCCGCCGCGCGCGCGTGGCGGGTATCGCAATGTCCACAGGAGGCTAGTCGCCATGTTGGCGTGAAAACCAAAGTGCGCCTTTAGCGGTGACTTATTTCATATTAAACTTAACACGCTTGTTTATACAGTTACGAAGATAGGAAACACATCCTCGCTGCGAGAAGCCTGAGCGAACCCCTTGCGGTCACCGACCGCGCGCGGGTGACGCGCGTCACGTGCGCGGCGCGGGGGCATTTCGCCTGTGTCCACTAGCAGCTATCTGCAGTGCGCGCGATCCTTGTAACATCAGAGAACTGCCCCCCTCTCTTCCTTCTCCTTCTCCTTTCTTCCTCCTCCTCCTCGTCTTCTCGTTGGTCCCAGGGCCTTGGAGTGTAGGGGCTCGCGCTTTGGAGCGTGGGCCACTGAGTCTGGGGGCTCGGGCAGCCCTGGAATCAGGAAAGAACACACAGACACAATTAATCGTCCACTCCCAGGAAAATATGGGAAAATATGGGAAGTGGGGGGGAAGACAAAAACCCAGAAAATATGGGAAAATATGAGGAATCCTTTTATTTGTGTGTATTTATTTGTGTGTCCCAGTTCCCCTTCAGGGGAGCGGGGCCCGCTCGGGGCGGGTCGGGGCTGCGCCCGCAGTGCGCGGCGCGTTTGCCCCGTCGTGCCCGGGGGGGGCCCGCTCGAGGACTCGCCCGGCAGCCGTTTGCCGGCGCCCCCCGCGCGGCCCGCCTGACCGGGGGGGGCCCCGCGCTCGGGAAACGCGCCGGGGGCCCCCGGCATCGGATTCTCCCGGCGTGCCCCAGGGGAACTTGCGCCAACAGTTTCGGCATCCGCCGGGCGAGCATACAATTGTAGTGGCCAACAACGAGCCCAACTGTAGCAACCCCAAACCAGGGCAACTGCAATGCCCCAAAAAACGAGGCCAAGGGCTAGCACATTGGTCGAAGCCACGAGCCACTTCACTACTGTAGCACACCAATATGCACGAGCCTTCGAACATAGAGCCCACGTGCAGGAACTCAGAAACGGGGCCGGAAGTGAAAGTGTAGTAAGTCAAACGAGGTCACTTGTAGCAACCAGAAACGAGGCAAAGTGCACGAATTTCAAATCGAAGTCAACTGTAGCAGCCAATTATCCCGGCAAAGCAACCTAACAGCGATGTGTAGGAGCATATCTGGAAGCATTCCCCTTAAGATTCAGATGAGAATCCAGTTGTAGAATTCTGCTGTTCTCGCAGTCGTAGTCGCATTCGCGATGACAGTCGCAGTGGCAACGGCAGTCAGTCACAGCCTCAGCCTCAGCCTGCCTCAGCCTCAGCCTCAGCCTGCCTCAGCCTCAGCCTGCCTCAGCCTCAGCCTCAGCCTGCTTCAGCCTCAGCCTCAGTCTGCCTTCAGCCTCGGCTCAGCCTCAGCCTGCCTCAGCCTCAGCCTGCATCAGCCTCAGCCTCAGCCTCAGCCTGCCTCAGCATCAGCATGCCTCAGCCTCAGCCTCAGCCTGCCTCAGCCTCAGCCTCAGCCTGCTTCAGCCTCAGCCTCAGTCTGCCTTCAGCCTCGGCCTCAGCCTCAGCCTGCCTCAGCCTCAGCCTGCTCAGCCTCAGCATCAGCCTGCCTCAGCATTCAAAATGTGGCCCGGGAATAGAGTTCTGGGAACTCGAAGAACACGAAGTGGCCTACAGTTGGCTCCGGGCATTCAAAATCATGCCCAGGAATGGAGTTCTGGGAAGTCGAAGAGCACGAAGTGGCCTACAGTTGGCTCCGGGCATTCAAAATGTGGCCCGGGAGTGGAGTTCTGGGGACTCGAAGACCACGAAGTGGCCTACAGTTGGCTCCGGGCATCCAAAATGTGGCCCGGGAATGGAGTTTTGGCAGGTCGAAGAGCACGAAGTGTGTGACTGTTTGCTTAAAACGACTTCTGCGGCACCTTGTCCGGCACCCGCCCAGACCCCCTTGTGGAGTCATCTGCTGCTCTCTTTTGACACCACTAGAAACCTATCAGAACAAGCTGTTAGGTAAAAACGAGGCCAACTGTAGTAACTCAAAAACGAGGCCAATTGTAGCAACCCAAAAATTATCCCGGCAAAGCAACCTAACAGCGATGTGTAGGAGCATATCTGGAAGCATTCCCCTTAAGATTCAGATGATAATCCAGTTGTAGAATTCTGCTGTTCTCGCAGTCGTAGTCGCATTCGCGATGACAGTCGCAGTGGCAACGGCAGTCGCAGTCACAGCCTCAGCCTCAGCCTGCCTCAGCCTCAGCCTCAGCCTGCCTCAGCCTCAGCCTGCCTCAGCCTCAGCCTCAGCCTGCTTCAGCCTCAGCCTCAGTCTGCCTTCAGCCTCGGCCTCAGCCTCAGCCTGCCTCAGCCTCAGCCTGCATCAGCCTCAGCCTCAGCCTCAGCCTGCCTCAGCATCAGCCTGCCTCAGCCTCAGCCTCAGCCTCAGCCTCAGCCTCAGCCTCAGCCTCAGCCTCAGCCTCAGCCTCAGCCTCAGCCTGCCTCAGCCTCAGCCTCAGCCTCAGCATCAGCCTGCCTCAGCATTCAAAATGTGGCCCGGGAATGGAGTTCTGGGAACTCGAAGACCACGAAGTGGCCTACAGTTGGCTCCGGGCATCCAAAATCATGCCCGGAATGGAGTTCTGGGAATGAAGAGCACGAAGTGGCCTACAGTTTGGCCCCGGGCATCCAAAATGTGGCCCGGGAGTGGAGTTCTGAGTCGAAGAGCACGAAGTGGCTTACAGTTGGCGTCGGGCATTCAAAATGTGGCCCGGGAATGAAGTTCTGGGGACTCGAAGACCACGAAGTGGCCTACAGTTGGCTCCGGGCATTCAAAATGTGGCCCGGGAATGGAATTCTGGGGACTCGAAGAGCACGAAGTGGCCTACAGTTGGCTCCGGGCATTCAGAATGTGGCCCGGGAATGGAGTTCTGGGAGGTCGAAGAGCACGAAGTGTGTGACTGTTGGCTGGCTTAACACGACTTCTGCGGCACCCTGTCCGGCACCCGCCCAGACCCCCTTGTGGAGTCATCTGCTGCTCTCTTTTGACCCCACTAGAAACCTATCAGAACAAGCTGTTAGGTAATTTCCAAAGGAGTTGGCCATGATCCCGCGGCCGCCGCGCGCTTGTGCACTTTGTCGTATTTTTCGCAATGGAATAGTACCATGCAAACATCTTGCAAAGACAGAATCTTCAGTTTATAATACGTGTTACAATATTATCCCGGCAAAGCAACCTAACAGCCATGTGTAGGAGCATCTCTGGGTCGAACAGCATCTCGACGAAAAGGCAGCTCTCCCCCCCC